TCCAGAGTTCCTGACAGTCCCATTTTCACTGTTCTGCCACCAGAGGGAACTGGAGTTGTAAGATTTTACAATGCCTCATAAATGCTGTCTATTCCTAATAAAATACAGGTTGCTTAATGAGACTACTGCTGTTAAACTTGGAAATTTTCACCTAAAATTTTCTGAGGATTTAATTATATTAACTATATCAAGTGGTGTTATTAGTCATTTTATTGGAAAGCGATCTCTTCTTTGATCCCTTTCCTCATATAGATTTCTAAATGTCTACAAAATATTATAAAATTCATCATGAAAAGATTTATAGTGGAAATAATTGGTAGGAATCATGAAAAAGTAAAGATCTCACAGGAATGATAAAAATCATATATATATAGTATAATGTTCAGTTAAAAGTGGGAAGCTGATTAATTTTTAAATGTTCTTTCAAGATTTAGACAATTCTCTAATTCTGTTTCATATTATAGAGTGAAGAAGTTATATAATATATGAAAGTTGCCAAGAATGTGACTAGTTAAATGATACAGCCATGGATCTATTGAAGATAACTATATTTGGAACACATCAAGCATTCTGATTTAGTATAGCAATAAAGATAAATCTACTTTTTCTAAAACTTCATTTTACCCAGATGTCCTTTGAAAGATGTCTGCAGTAAAATGTCCACCTCTTAATATGCAGAATGTCTACCTCTTAATATGCAGTGATGACTCAGCAATTATTCTTATGCTTTAGTTTTTTTTTTTTTTTTAATATTTTATTTTTAGTACTGCAGACTTTTGCCCTCTGTTTTTTCCCTAAACTTAGTGTTTGATTTTGTTTTGGCTTTGTTTTTAATATGTAATATGAGCATCAAGCAGACTGCAGGAAAAACGTGAAGATCGCTTTTCAGATATAAAAGCATCATAAAGCTGTACATCAAAGCCAGCTTTTGTCTTATTTTACAAATCTCTCTCAGTGTGTGTCCCAGGGTGGTCTCAGGATTACTGGCAGCAGCAGCATCAGGAGCTACTGGTTAGTGTTCAGATTTCCAGCTTCAATCCTAGATCTATTGACTCTGCATTATGAATATGCAGCCCTCACATGGTTCTCATGCACATCAAAGTTTAAAAACGACTTTTCTGGAAAATGTATATAGTCCCTGATACTTTAACTTCTTGAACTATTATCCACGCCGAATTCTTGTTTATCAGCATTTTCATGGTCAATACATATTAACTTTTTTCAGCTCGTGCGTTTCATATTATCTTCAGTCATGGTTACATGGATGACTCCCAAGTGTACATGTCTAGACAGATATGTCACCTATTTGAAACATTATTTAGGTTGTGTTCCCTTGGATATTCATTCTGCATCCAAACCTTATATTATTCTTAGTTTGTTTTTTTATATATACTTTTTCTTTTATTTATTTATTTTTTCAATTGCATTTTAGGTTTAGGGGACGTGTGAAGAACATGTACGAAGGTTGCATAGGTACACGCATGGCAGTGTGGTTTGTTTTTAAGAGACAGAGTCTTGTTTTGTCACCCAGGCTGGAGTACGGTGGCACGATCATAGCTCACTGCAGCCTTGAACTCCTCAGATCAAGCTATCCTCCTACCTCAACCTACCAAGTAGCTAGGACTACAGGCTCAAACTACCATGCCTGGCTATTCTTGCAAATTTTTTGTAGAGATGTGATCTTGCTGAGTTGTTCAGGCTGTTCTCAACTGGCTTCAAGTGATCCTCCCCCTCTGCCTTCTGAAAGGCTGGGATTACAGGCATGAGCCATGGCTCCCAGATTCAAATCTTGTTTTATACTTTATTGTGTCTTCTTGAGTCATCTTTTGCCACCAGTGTTTGTGTTAAATATATTTCTTTTAAAAACATACTGCTGCATCCGCTTCCCAGCAAGTAATCTTACTCCGTTACTCCCTGACTTCCAATCCATGCTCTGTGAAAAATCTTCCTAAAATTTCCTCTCATCAGTTATTTCCCTTTACAAGGACTTTTTGATGACTCTTACATCCTAGATTCCACTGGTCCTGGATAGGTATCTTTATATTTCCTACATAAAATCTCAACCCTACAACCAGGTTGTCAGTTTATTCTTCCAGCCCACATACTTCATTTTTCCCACTGTTATCTTTGCTTTGCCCTCTCATTGTCCTTTACAAGTATTTGATCAAACCTCCACAAAGAATAGACAAATCCCCAGTTCTCTCAGAAAGTCTTCTCCAGGTCATCTCTATTAGGTCATGTTAAATGTTCATATGTGACTATGACGTATCTTCCTAACTCGGCTTTTAACACAGAGACCAAGGCTTATTATATTTTTGAACATCCTATATCATGCAGCTATATACTAAATCGACAGAAATTGCTTAACGCTGGTTGATTAATTTAGGCTATGCTAAAGAAAAAGGACCTCCTCCTAGTTTCCCTTATATTCCAGACTGCAGATAGGAATATATTCATTCAATGTCATCACCTTAATTATAATATTGGTTGTATTTATTTGATACTATTGATTTTTTTTTTTTTGAGATGGAGTTTTACTCTTGTTGGCCAGGCTGGAGTGCAATGGCATGATCTCAGTTCACTGCAACCTCTGCCTCCCGGGTTCAAGTGATTCTCCTGCCTCAGCTTCCTGAGTAGCTGAGATTACAGGCACCTGCCCCTCTAATTTTTGTATTTTTAGTAGAGACGGGGTTTCACCATGTTGGTCAGACTGGTCTCGTTCTCCTGACCTCAGGCAATCCACCCAAGGTGGCCTTGGTCTCCCAAAGTGCTGGGATTACAGGCATGTGCTACCACACCCGGCGATACTGTTGATATCTTTAGTAAAGCTGAAATCACTGCTTTCTAATGTTTCCTCATTAAAAGTTAGTCTTGGGACAAATTAAGCCACAAACATTGTAAATTTTGTGTTATGGTAAATGTCATGCAATTTGAACTGAAGAAGTTAAATCAAGTGTGCTTTTTTGGTTTGAGAGGATTATTGACTTAGTGAGAAAAACAGATGCCCTATTAGAATACAATAATGTTCAAAATAATCCACTTCTTTGAGATCTTGTCTTGCTCTGTTGCCCAGGCTGGAGTGCAGTAGTGCAGCCAGGGCTCACTGCAGCTTTGACGTCCTGGGCTCAGGTGATCCTCCCACCTGGGCCTTTCAAAGGTTTGGGATTACTGGCATGATCCATAGCACCCAGCCATAACCCACTTTTGACAAATTGATTAAATCCTTTCAGAGGAAGGGTGGTTTGGTTTGCAGTGACACACAGCAGTCCCCACATTTCTTCTAGGGCTCTGTCAAGGCTGTGAATGTATTTCTCTTGCTTAGTAATGACAATAGCGGGTATTCTTGTCATTTTAGGTGATGGATTAAAACCAAGAAGGCATAGGGGCTTGGTTCCTTCAGAAAGGAGTAGCTTGGCAGAGGAAGAGAATTAACCAGACCCAAATAGCTCTACACGAGGAAGACACTCAAGGTGCAAGGTGACTGGGTGTCAGGAACATAGAAATAACAGAGGGACATTTTTTTGTGAGGAGACAAGTGTGTAAAAACTCAGGAGAAGCCAAAGAATCAGGCTTCAGAAAGAGTGGGTATAGTAATAGCACACACCTTCTAGAGGAGCTGGCACTTTAGAAGGCCTTATCCCTTCACAGTGAGCAGCAAGCAGACTGAAGGAGTACTACGGAATTCAGTTGGGGACCTTTGCTAGTGCCTTGCCACTAACTTGACTCAGCCGTTCTCTGAGTGTCTGCTCAATTATTTGTTCATTATAGACTATCTCATCTCTTCCTACTCTGTTTATCTTTTTCCTGTCTCCGACTATGTCTGGAAAGTAGGGTTTTGCTACCTTTATTTTATAGACGAGGGAAAAATGTTCAAAGAAATTAGGTATGATTCCCCCAAGGCCACCTAAGTAGCAGGTGGTAGGACTGAGATTCAAACAAATTCCATCTGATTCCTAAAGCAGTGCTCTTTCCTTCATAGCCCACCGTCTATAAGCAGAGGGGGTGTTCAAAATATTAAACATTTAATCTTTTTTGTTGTTAAGATTCACTAGTAATATACTGAACTATACAAGATTAATAGTGTGGTCAGTACTATGAAAGAGAAACTGCACCAGCCCAGTTAAACAATCAAGGAGGATTTTAGCCAAGATGTGCAAGGAGAGACAATGTCACAATATTGTGATATTTGAGCCAACTCTGGTTGGTTGGCAGATTTGGAAGATTGAACCAACTCTGCCAAAACAAAAGATGAAAGGATTTTTAAACAGTAGGGTGAGTGTGTTGGGCTGTTCTTACATTACTATGAAGAAATACCTGAGACTGGGTAATTTATTAAAAATAGATGTAGAATTGGCTCACAGCTCTCAGGCTGTACAGGAAGCATGGCACCAGCATCTGTTTGGTTTCTGAGGAAGGTTCAGGGAGCTTTTACTTATGGCAGAAGGTGAAGCAGGAGCAGAACTATCACATGGCAAGAACAGAAGCAAAAGTGAGGGAGGTGCCACACACTTTTAAGCAACCAGATCTCACATGAACCCAGGGCAAAACCTCACTCATCACCAAGAGAATGGTGCTAAGCCATTCATGAGGGATCTGCCCCGTGATCCAAACACCTCCCACTAGGCTCGCCTCCAACATTGGAGCTCACATTTCAATGTAAGATTTGGAGGGACATCCAAATCATGTCAGTAAGGTAATGGAAAAGTTCTAGAGGATGTTAGGAGGACGTTAGTCAATATGATTGGGCTACCTGTTTTTGCCAATTGTCACTTATGAAACTCAGGCTCCTACCCTTTCACAGATACTAGGAGATAGGGACACTATCTTGTTTAATGATTGCATTTCAAATAGATGGCTCCAGGTTTTTCAGAAAGTAATTTCTGGATTGTAAAAGATTTACATCTCAAAGAGACAGTAAAAGGAGTTATAACTGCAAATTTTCTAAAGCATATGCTCTAAGAAAAGGGAGGTCAAAGGCCTATGGTGAAGAAGAAACCTGTCTCGGCGGAGCAGGCCATGGTGCAGCTGTGCGGGCCGAGGCGGGGCCAGGCGCTTCTTGCCCTGCTGGCATCACTGCTCCTCTCCGAGGTCCTAGAGGCCGACGGAGAATGCGGCATCCACGACTTTTGCCTGTCTTCGAAGGTGGTGGGCAGATGCCGGGCCTCCATGCCTAGGTGGTGGTACAATGGCACTGACGGGTCCTGTCAGCTGTTTGTGTATGGGGGCTGTGATGGAAACAGCAATAATCACCTGAGCAAGGAGGAGTGTCTCCAGAAATGTGCTGCTGTCACAGAGAATGCCATGGGTGACCTGGCCACCAGCAGGAATGCAGCAGATTCCTCTGTCCCAAGTGCTCCCAGAAGGCAGGACTCTGATGACCACTCCAGCGATATGTTCAACTACGAAGAATACTGCACCGCCAAGGCAGTCACTGGGCCTTGCCGTGTGGCCTTCCCACGCTGGTACTTTGACGTGGAGAGGAACTCCTCCGACAACTTCATCTATGGAGGGTGCCCGGGCAATAAGAGCAGCTACCTCTCTGAGGAGGCGTGCATGCTCCGCTGCTTCCGCAAGCAGGTGGATTCTTCCCTGCCGCTTGGCACAAAGGTGGTGGTTCTGGTGGGGCTGTTTGTCATGGTGCTGATCCTCTTTCTGGGAGCCTCCATGGTCTACCTGATTCGGGTGGCGTGGAGGAACCAGGAGCAGGCCCTGCATACCATCTGGAGCTCTGGAGACAATGAGGAGCACCTGGTGTAGAACACATATGTCCTGTGACTGCCCTGTTGCCAAGAGGACCAGGGAAGGGAGGGGAGACTATGTGTGTGCGTTTTCAAAAGAGAGCGATTGACTTGGATTTGTGCGATCATTAGGGCTGAGGTCTGTTTCTCTGGGAGGTAGGAAGCTCTTCCTGGTCTGGTGGGGATGGGGTGCTTTGGAAGTCCTCTAGGGAGGCTGCTCCTCACGTGTGTAGCCTGTGGTCTGGCAGCAGCCCTGAGTTGTTTCCTCACTGGTAGATTTCTTTCCTCCAGGTAAAGTTTTCTTTGCTTATGTTGAATTCCATGGCCCTTTTTCTCATCACAAAAGTGATGTTATAATCGTTTCTTTTGTTTGTCTGATTTTTGTGTTTTTTAAAGCGTAAACAGAAGTTTTTTATTAGCATTCCTGAAAGTAAAATGTACGAGTTTAATAAAAAGGGGCCTTCCCCTTTAAGGAAAAAAAAAAAGGAGAGAGATCCAAGATGGCTGATCACTAGCAGCTCGGGATTGTAGCTCCCAGTGAAAGTGCAGAGAAGGAGAGGACGCCACACTTTCAGATGATTTTTTGTTGCTCACGCACCAGGAAATTCCCAGTGGAGGAGCCCCACAGGTCGCCAGCGAGACTCTTGTGGCCGGCAAGGCGGTTTTGCCGCTGCCTTGGTGCAGCCGTTCTTGGTGCAGAGTCAGAAAAGCACCATCAATCTTAACGCCGGACAGTGGCGCAGTGGGTTGCTCAGATTTTAGCGGC